CTGCCCGCCCCAGCCCCCCTCTGCCAGCTGCTGCCCCCCAGAGCCGCCCCCAGAGTCCGTCTGCGTCCCCGGGGCCCCTCATGCCCAGCACCCACCCCCTGCCTTACACACACACACACACACACACACGTCAGCGGACGGTTCTGTTCAGGGTGTCTGAGCCTCTGTGAGGAAGCCACACCGGGGCCTTTGGCGGCTCCTCTCTGCACACGCAATCCTGACAGCCAGGAACCAGGGGAAAGGTCCGGGAGCACGCTCCCTCCCAGCACACACACACTGACACATGCACACACACTCACACACACACTGATATGCACACACACTCACAGACACACACTGACACCCATGCACAGAGACACATACCAATGCACACACACTGACACATGCACACACACGCACACACTCACACAGAGACACTGACACACACTGATGCACCCACACGATGACACGCACACACAAACACTGACACACTGATGCACAGGCACACTGACGTGCACACACAGACATGCACACTCACGTATGCACACACTGACACACAGTAATGCACACACTGACACACGCACACAGTGACACACACATGCACACAGACACTGACACACACTGATGCACTGACATGCTGACACGCACACACAAACACTGACACACTGATGCAGAGGCACACCGACACGCAGACACAGAGACACGCACACACTCAGACACTGACACACACATGCACACTTACATACACACACACTGACACATGCACACACAGTGACACACACTGATGCACACACATTGATACACCAGCACACACTCACACTCACTACATACACAGAGACACACACTGATGCACGCACACTGACATGCACACACAGACATGCACACACACAGACACTGACACACACTGACGCACACACACAGTGACACACACATGCACACACCGACATGCACACACATACAGACTCAAAAACAGACCCTGACACACACTGATGCACACGTACACTGACATGCACACACAGACACTGACACACACTCACAGACACTGACACACACTGGTGCACACACATGCTGGCACATACACACCCTGACATGCACACACTCTCACACACGTTGACACATACTGGTGCACGCGCACACACACGGGTACACATGCACACACTGACTGTCATGCACACACACGGACTCACACCAAGACACTGACACACACTGATGCACACGCACAGAGACACAGACATGCACACAGCGACACGCACGCACGTAGGGACTCACACCCAGACACTGACACACACGGACGCACACGCACACTGACACACGCATGCACGCGCGCGCGCACAGCACACAGTCACAGTCACACACACGCAGCACCGGGGTGGGGGGGGAGGACCGCGGCGGCGGCGGCGTCAGGCGACCCTGGAGCCCCCGAGCCCCGCGCCCGCCCCGCGCCCCCCGCACCCCCAGGGGCCGAGCCAGCCGCAGCGGCGGAGCGTCGCCAGGGAAACGCCGAGCGACTCAGGGCCGGAGCCGGCGCGCGCGGTGCTCCCGCGGCCCCCACTGCGCACGCGCGCACGCGGCGGCGTCCGGACCCGCTGCCATGGCGACGGCGGGGCGCAGTGCGCATGCCCGGGCCGGCCGCCCCCCCCCCCCCCCGTGCGCCTGCGCGCCCGACCCCCGGCCGCGCGCCCGGCCCGCAGCCCCCCTGGGCCGGCCTTGCCGAGGGGCCCGCGCCCGCCGAGACCCCGGCCGGGCCCGCGGAGACCCCCGGCGGGGCCCGGGCCGGCGGCGCGGGTGCCGGAAGCGGCGTCCGGCGGCGCTGGGTGATGACGCGGCGGCGCGCGTGACGCGCACTCCCTGCGCCGGGCTCGGGGGGCGCGGCCGGCTGGGCCGTTGGGAGCGGCGCCCCGGCCCGCGCGCGGTTCCGAGCCGGCCGGGTCCTGGGCCCTGGGCCCGCCGCCAGCATGCCGCCCGGGAGGGGCCAGGCGCTGCGGCCGGTGCTGAAGATGAAGGTGGACGAGCTCTTCCTGCACTGGCTCAGCGAGCCCGGCACGCAGCGCCTGCTGCACGCCTGCCTGCAACGCCTGCGCGCGCACGCCCCGCCCCGGGGCCACGCGGGGGGCGACCCGGGACCCCCGCGCGGGCCCCCGCGGGACGCCAGGGACCCGCCCCCGCCGCCGCCCCCGGAGCCCCCGCCGCCGCCCCCCGAGGAGCCCCCGCCGCAGCAGCTCCAGCCCCCGCCGCAGCCCGAGCGGCCCGGCGCGCCCCCCGCGCGGGGACCCCGCCGCCCCGCAGCGCCCCGACCGGTGAGTGGCCCACCCGCCGCGGGCACGGCCGGGACGAGCTGGGGGTCGGCGGGACGGGGGCCTGGCGGGGCGCCTGCCCGTGCCCTGCGGCGCGTCACCGGCCGTCCCACCGCCCGCCCGCACGGTGGCCGTGCCCTGCCCGCCCCGCACTGACCAGCAGCTGGGGGCTGAGTCCCGTGGCCGGCCCGGGGTGCCCTGGGCTGGGACCCCGGCAGAGGACCCCTGGAGGCTGGGCCCGGCGAGCCCTGCCCGTGGCCGGCTCTGCCTGCGCCCGGGGCCGCCCAGCCTGCCCGCAGCCGCCCAGACCCTGCCGGGGTGCCCGTGCTTCCTGCTGCGGCCAGGGACCCTCCCGGGACCCGAGTCGCGGGGCTAGGGGCCCTGTTCCTGGCTGGGACCCAGCCCCACGGGGTGGACGGCACTGTGGACGTCCCAGACGCACTTCCCTCACAGACACACCTGTGGGCAGCGGCCAGGTGGGGGGCCCGCCTGCCGCCCCGGACCAGTCCACGCACCTGGGCTCCTGAGGACAGTCCCAGAGCAGTCTCGGTCTCCCATGGACAGTCCCAGGGCAGTCTCGGTCTGTCATGGACAGTCCCTGGGCAGTCTTGGTCTCCAATGGACAGTCCTAGGGCTGTCTCGGTCTCTCCCCGTGGACCATCCCAGGGCAGTCGCGGTCTCTTGTGGACAGTCCCAGGGCAGTCTCGGTCTCCCATGGACAGTCCCAGGGCAGTCTCGGTCTGTCATGGACAGTCCCAGGGCCATCTCGGTCTCCCATGGACAGTCCCAGGGCAGTCTCGGTCTGTCATGGGCAGTCCCAGGGCCGTCTCGGTCTCCCATGGACAGTCCCAGGGCAGTCTCGGTCTGTCATAGACAGTCCCTGGGCAGTCTTGATCTCCAATGGACAGTCCTACGGCTGTCTCGGTCTCTCCCCATGGACCATCCCAGGGCAGTCGCGGTCTCTTGTGGACAGTCCCAGGGCAGTCTCGGTCTCCCATGGACAGTCCCAGGGCCGTCTCAGTCTCCGATGGACAGTCCTAGGGCTGTCTCGGTCTCTCCCCATGGACAGTTCCAGGGCCATCGCAGTCTGTCATGGACAGTCCCAGGGCTGTCTCGGTCTCATGGACAGTCCCAGGGCCCTCTCGGTCTCTCTCCGTGAACAGTCCCAGGACAGTCTCGGTGTCTCGTGGATAGTTCCAGGGCCGTCTCAGTCTCCCATGGACAGTCCCAGGGCCGTTTCGATCTCTTGTGGACAGTGCCCAGCCTCTCATTGTGCTGTGGACAGTCCCCACTGGCACTCTCGGTCTTCGTGGATGGCCCCCACTGGTAGCCTTGGTCTGTCCTGTGGATGTTCCCCCTGAGACTTTCGCTCTGTCAGGTGGACGATGGTCCATGCCCGTGCCCAGTGTGTCCTGCAGACCTCCACGGGGGCCTCGTGTGCAGGCCAGGCTAGCTGGGCAGGAGAGGTGGGCAGTGTCCACGTGGGAAAGCCCAGGCTCCTGGGGGCTTCTCCCCGTCCCCCCACCTATGCCCAGGGCCCCTTGGGGGCTTCTCCTGTCCCCCACCTCGAGGGACCGTGTGGTGCTGCATTTGGGGGCGCCCGTGCCAAGTGTGTGTCTTTGTGTGTCTGTGTGTGTGTTTCTGTGAGTGTGTGTGTGTGTGTGTGTAGGTGGGGGGGGGCCCTCTTGGAGCCGTCTCTGTGTCCAGGAGTGTTGGTACAGACACTGCGGGGCCCGCGTCCTCCTGTGTCGTCTGCAGGGCAGATGCCCGGCCTCAGCCAGCCCCGTACCCAGAGCAGGTGACCCTGGGCCCAGCCCCCGTATCCAGATCAGGTGATCCTGGGCCCAGCCTGGTACCCAGAGCAGGGGACCCCAGGCCCAGCCCCCCTACCCAGAGCCGGTGACCCCGGACCCAGCCTGGTACCCAGAGCCCAGTGCAGCTCAGGGTCCTGGTTCCCACCAAGGGAAACCTGCGTCCACGAAAAGTGGCTGCTGCCCACACTTCTGCAGGCCAGTGTGCTCAGGGACGGGACGTGGTGTCCCATGTGCTCTTGGAGTGGAGACTCGGGCTGCGGGGCTGCGTGCTGCTGTGGGGACCTGGGGTCCTGTGTGCGCTGGGAGGGGGTCTTGGGGCTCCCGTGTGCTCTGCCAGGGGGGTGGAGGGGGATCCTCCTGTGCTCTGGAGTGGGGAAGCAAGTGTCCAGTGGTCAGCTGCCTGGGAAGCCGGCAGCCTTGCCGCCAGGTGCGGGGACATCTCCTGGGACAACCTGTGGGTCTGGCCACTTTGCGTCTCCCTCCGCCTTGCCCTGCCTGGCTCGGGGGACCTGCCCAGCCCCGCGTCCCCCTGGGGCTCGAGGGCACAGGGCCGGCGGGTGCTGCTGTCGCTCCCGGTGTGCTGCCCAGTGCCGGGGTGTGTCCCTCGCGGTGGTGTGCTGTCCCTCCCGGCCGCTGCTGCCGCTGCCGCTGCCCGTGCGGCCGGACGACAGGCGCGCGCCTCCTCCCCCCGGCGGGGCCCTCCCCAGCCAGTGGAATGCGCGCGGCGCGCCCGGCCCGGCCCCCAGAGCGCCCGGCCCGGCCGGCGACGCATGGAGCGCGCTGAGCGCGGCGCGGGCCGGCCCGGACACAGCTGCCGCCCCGAGCCCGGCCCCGGCCTCCCGCAGCGCGGACCCAGCGGCCCCGGCGGCCCCGGCGGCCCCGGCCCGCGCCGGCCGCTGCGCGCCGCCGACAGCATGCGCCTGCGGGAGCTGTCCCTGCGCCAGGACCCCGACCTGCGCCAGGAGCTGGCCGCGCTGGCCCGCGGCTGCGACTTCGTGCTGCCGTCCCGCTTCAAGAAGCGCCTCAAGGCCTTCCAGCAGGTCCGGCGCGGGGGTCCCGCGCGGGGACTCGGGGGGCCTGGGCCGGGCCGGGCCGGGGCTGCGCGCGGGGTCCGGGGCCGTGCGCGCGGGGGGCGTGCGCCGGGCTGGGTTTGCGCGCGGCACCGGGGTCGGTCGGTCTGCGCGCGGGGCCCGGGTCCGTGCGCGGGGGCGGGGGTCGCTGTGCGGCGGCGGCGGGAGGGGGGGCGCGCGGGAGGCGGGCCCAGCAGCCGGCGCCCCGTGGGACGCGGTCCGCCTCGCGGCCCGGGGTGGCGCGCCCGTGGCCCCCGCCGGACGCGCCCGCTCCGAGCCCCCGTGCCCGGCGCCGGGACTCTGGCTCCCCGGGCCCGGGCCTCCGTGCCGGCCGCCGCGGGGCTGTCCCTTGCCGCGGGACGGACCCTTGTCCCGCGCCCGGCCCGTGACGCGCGCGCTCCTGCCAGCCCCCACGGCGTGTCTGTGTGTGTGTGTGTGTGTGTGTGCGCGCGCGCGAGTGTGCGGGCGAGGGGCCCCGGGGACGCGTGCGGGCGCCCGGGGCTCCCGAGAACCCCAGCCCGCGCCCCGTGTTGGCGCTGCTCCGAGCGGACACGGCCGGCCGACCCCGCCGGTCCGCTGCGTGGGCCGAGTTCGGGCATCGCCGAGGGCCCGGCACCGCTCAGCTGTAGGGCCGGACCGTGGGCGGGGCCCCCTGTCCTTACTGCCCCGGGGGCCCCTGGGGGGCTCCCGGGATGCACGCGGCGGGCGGCGTGGACAGGCCTTGGCGTGCAGGGTCCTGGGGGCCAGGACTTGGCCCAGGGCGGGGAGCCCCCGCGGGCGAGAGCGGAAGGGCACTAGGAAGCCCGGCTGGGCACAGGTGTGGGCCCTGACACTCCCAGCACAGCTGGGCTGGCCCTGAGTCTCGGGGGCGGGGCTTGGCCCTGGTGGGCGGGGCTCTGGGTCTCGGGGGTGGGGTTTGGCCCTGGTGGGCGGGGCATGCTTGTACGGGGCCGGGCTGTGATACGGGGAGGGGCGGGGCCCTGTGTTCGGGGGCGGGGTTTGGTCCAGGTGGGCGGGGCATGCTTGCCAGGGGCGGGGCGTGAGGGTTGGGCTGCGCTCTGATACGGGGAGGGGTGGGTTCCTGAATCTCGGGGGCGGGGTTTGGCTCTGGTGGGCGGGGCGTGAGGTTCAGGGGCTGGGGCTCGAACATGGGGTGGGGGCGTAGCGGGCGGGGCGTGAGTGTCAGGGAGGCTGGGCCGGGGCCTTGGGGCGGGGCCGTGATTCCCAGGGCGGCCGGGTTAGGGCACGGGGGGCGGGGCCGCGAGTGTCGGGAGGCGGGGCTGGGGCGTGGGGGCGGGGCCGAGTCCGAGGGGGCGGGGCTGTGGACACGGGCCGGTGCCTGCAGCCCCCTGGGCTCCTGGTGGCTGCGCCCTTTCCGGGCCCTTTGCGGGGACGGGGTCGTGTGCCTTCGCTCTCTCGGGTGCCTGATCCCGGGGAGGGCAGGAGCCGCCGTGTGCTTGAGGGCGGTCGTGTCCTGGGATCCCGTGTCCTGTCCGTCCGGGGGTCTTCTCCCCTGCAAGCGTGCTGTTCCGAGGGTCTCTCTGGAAGCCCGGTCCTCTGGGGGCTTGGGAGCGAGCGCAGGCAGGCGGCAGCGGCTCCGGCAGGAGGGAGTGGGCGGGCGCTCCTGCTGGGGGGGCTAGGCTGCGTTTGGGGCGGGGGTCCCCTGCGCTGGCCCCCCGGGTCTGGCTGCTGGTACCCACCGCCCAGACACACCCCCGCCCCTCACCTGCACACGTGGACGCTCCTCGCGGTGCAGTGACTTGCTCGCACGTGCACGGGTCTGGGCCGCATGCTCACGTGCTGGGTCGCTGCCTGCCTGCCTGCACACCCCCACGCGTGCACAGGGCCCAGAATCGGCCTGCGTGCACCCCTCGTGCAGTCTGCCTCTGTGCACACCCCCACGTGCAGAGTCGGCGTGCCTGCGCACCACCATGCACCCAGAGTCTGCCTGCATGCACACGCCCACGCGTGCAGGGAGCCTGTGTGCACACCCCCACACGTGACCGGGCACACGAAGCTCTAAGGGTTTGCATATGTGCACGCACACACACGTGCAGAATCTCCCTGCGTGCGCCCTGCGTGGGTGCCACGTGTCGTGTTGCTGCTCCCCTGTGTGTACATGCCTGCGTGCAGACACACCTCTCCCGCACGACTGCTGCCACTCACGCCTCAACACACACAGCCGCACGCCTGATCACGCACAGACATGTTCCACACACGCACACGTGACTAAACACACACCCGACCATACGCACCTGACACACACTCAACCACGTGCACACCTGCCTGGACGCGCAGTCACCTGCCGCCGGCCAGCTGCACACGCCTGCCTGCGCACAGCCCTTCCCGGGTGCCCAGGTGCCCGCACACAGCCCCGTGCCCAGCCCCTACCTCTGGGTACCTCTCCCCGCACCCCGGCTCCGTCACACACGTGCAGCTCTCGCACACACACACAGCTGCCCGCACACACAAGGCTGCACCGTGTCCCCACCCCCCAGCTGCCTCTCCTGGGTGCCCTGTGGGTGCTCCTGTGAGGGCGGGAGCTGCGTGTGCGTCCGGCGCCCCTGAGGACCACGCCCCGAGGCGTCGGCAGCAGCTGCCAGGAAAGGGCGGGTGGCCGCAGCTGTGCCTCTCGGGCGCTATTTCCGTCCTCAGATTAGGCCTGCAAAGCCCCCGCGTCCGTCTGCGCGGGTTTCTCTTGGCGGTCCGCGCCAGTTGCCGGCCCAGCCTGTCTGTGTGTGTGTGTGTTTGTGTCTTTGCGTGTCTCTGTGTGTCTGTGCCTGTGTGTGTTGTGTGTCTGCAGGTCTGTGTCTGTGTGTCTGTGTGTGGCCGCCTGTCTCTGCACACATGTGTGTCTGGGTGTCTGCTGCTTATCTGTGTGTGTGTGTGTGTGTGTGTATGTATGTGGACATTTCTCTGTTTTTGTGTTTCTGGTGTGTCTTCTGCCTGGATGTGGATGTTTCCATGGGTCTGTGTGTCTGCGCGTGTGTGGATGTGTGTCTGTGTGTTCCCCGACTGGACAGGTTTGCTGTTGGAGGGCGTGGGGTGGGGTCACCCCGGTGACCTGCAGCACAGACCATGGCCTCTGTGCTCAGAGCTGCGTGTCCACAGAGGGACGTGGGCCTCAGCCTGGTGTCTACTGAGGGATGTTGGCCCCGGCCTGGGGTCCATTGGGCAGTCTTGGCCCCGGCCCTGGTGTCCACGGAGGGATGTTGGCCCCTGGTGTCAGGAGCACCCCTGGCAGCCTCTCGTGCCCACCCCTGGGGTCCCGGCTCTTGCCCAGTGCGTCCCACCCGCACCCGCAGCCCCTCCCTCTCACGTGGCCTCCTGTCCGTCTTTGACGTCCGTCTGAGCTGCTGCTGTTCGTGGTGGTGGCGACCCTGTCCTCATGGACGCTGCCCGCCTCAGGTGTGCTGACCCTGCCCGGCATGTGCCCGCCTCAGGTGTGCAGCTCCGGCTGTGGTGTCCTGGAAGTGCCGTTTCTGCCCGTGCTGCGCACATGCCGCCGTCTGCCGTCTGTCTGGGGTCCTCCCCCCGTGTGTGTGTGTGCGTGCCTGTGTGTGTGCCCGCCGCGGTCTTCTCAGCCTGCCTGGCAGTCCCAGGTATCCCCGTGACGGTTCCTCCCGGCTCCCGTCCTGTCCTGGGGCCGCGCAGAGAGGCGCCTGTGCTGGGCCCTCCGCCCTTCTCCGTCCCCGCTGGCCTCTGCCCGCTCACCTGCCCTCACTGCCCACCTGTCCCTGCCCTCGGGTGCCGCCTGGCCCCCCTCCCTCCCCCCCTGCCTCCACCTTCAGACCGTCCCTCTGCTCCCCTCCCCCGCGTCAGAGGTGGACTGGCCGTCCCGCTCACAGGCCTCCCGTGTCTCCACCCAGGTGCAGCGCAGGAGGGAGGAGCCTCTGCCGCCGGCCCCCAGCCGGGACATCCCCGCCTTCTACTTCCCCAGAGGCCGCCCGCAGGACACCGTCAACGTGGACGCCGTCATCGCCCACATTGAGAGGACCTTTGCCGACTTCCCGCAGGAGAGGGCCACCATGGACGACATGGGCCGCGTGGCCAAGGTGGGCGTGGGTGGGGGAGGCCCGCCGTTCGAGCACGGCAGCGGGCGCCAGCGGGCAGTGCCCCGGCCCGGGGCGCAGTGCGGCCTCGACCAGCGGGACCCCAGCGCCAGTGGGACCTCAGGGCTCACTGTGGCCTCAAGAGCCAGTAGGACCCAAGAGGCCGGTGGGGCCCCAGGGGTCAGTATGACCTCAGGGTTAAGTGTGACCCCAGGGGCCAGTGGGATCCCAGGGGCCAGTGTGACCTCAGTGTTGCTAAGTGTGACCTCAGCAGCCAGCGGGGCCTCAGGGTTAAGTGGGACCCCAGGGGCCACTGGGACCTCCGGATTCAGTGGGACCCCAGGGGCCAGTGTCCGAGGGGGCGTCCCAGTGGGTCGTCCTGCGGTGTGACCCTGGCAGAGTGACCAGCCGCTGCCTGACGGCCGATGTGTCAGGTTGGACTGGGGGGGGCTGCGTTTGGTGTTGGCGCCTCTGGAGGGCTCGGTGGGGCTGGAGTCGGGCTCCTCAGAGGCGCCGTCTTCAGGGGACGCCTCCTGCCCGCCCAGGTGGTTCCCCACGATTCCCTCGGCTGGGGGCTGCACCTGGCGATGTCCGGGCCGGTGGGCTCTGCCCAGGGACTCTCCTGACTGTGTGGGAGCCCGGCCCCGGGAGCCACGTCACAGCAGGGGCCTAAGCCTGTGCCCCCTGCCGCCCAGGCCTCTGTTTCCCGCCGTGGGACCACGGGCGTCTCTGTGCTGGTCTGACAGGGAGCGGTGGGTGCTGGTCGTGGGTGTGCGGGTGGTCTGTGCCCTGGGCGCCTGAGTCCCTGGGCCGTGGCGGTTCCCAGTCGTCTCCTGGATGTTGGCCACCCTGTCTCGCCACCGTCTGTCCACAGCCCCCCACAGTCTCCCGCCACGTCCCCATCTCCCTACGCTTTCCGCACCCCCCATAATCCCCCCCACACCTTGTTCCTGATGGGGGGAGCCTCAGGGTCCGTGTGACAGGCCCCTCCTCACACCCCTGCAGCCGCGCTAGGCCCCTGTGTGTCACCTCCGCAGCACACGGTGCTCGCCTGGCTCCGTGGGCTCCTCGGCTCTGCGGTGTGTGACCACCGTGCCCTTCGTCACGGCCCGTGGCTGCGTGTTTGGGCCGGGGCCATCGTAGCGCCCTCAGGTCTCACAGTGACCAGCAGCCTTCCCGCCCGTGCGTCTGCCGGGATTCAGGCGAGGGTCAGCAGGAGTCGTGCGGCCAGGGCAGGGTGGGCAGACAGGCCGCAGGAGAGTCGCGCCCAGGGCGGGGGGCACTCGGGCGTCCCCTGCCCGGGGACCTGCTGTGCGGACGGTGGGTTCCTGCCGTCGTTTCTGCCTTCTCCCTGCTGAGGAATCGGCTGTCGGAACTGAGGTTTCTGGAACCTTCTGCCTGATCATTTCTGCTCAGACCGCCTGGCGTTGGTGGTCCGTGCAGCCGTTGACCCACGCACATGGCCCGTCGGCCGTGGTGGTCCCGACTCTCACCCAGGGCCACGCTGCTACTCAGCATTTGGGTCTAGCCGGGGGCACCGGGAGCACTGGGAGCACCGGGAGCCCCGGGAGCCGGCTGGGAGACCTTTACTGAGGGGCCGGGAGCTGAAGGTCTCTCCTCGGCGGACCCCTGCTTCCTGTGCTCCTCGCTGGAGTGCTCTCCTGGGACTGCTCGGGGTGGACGGCCGGTGGGTGACGCCCACGCCCCGTGCCCATGGGAGCAGCCGCAGCTTGCTGGGTCCCGACGGCGACTTGGGACTGAGGGGCCCTCTCCTGGGGGTGGGCTTCCGCGCTCCGCCCCCTCAGCCTCCCTGGGGGCCTGTGGTCACCCTACTGCGTGCTGCTGAGCCGCGGACCCCAGCCCCTCAGCCCCTGGCTCGGCAGGCCACACAGGGGCCCGATGAGGAAGGGGCACTCCCCTGCCTGCCGCTGCCCCGGGAAGTCGTGGGGGCGGGGGTCGTGCGTGCGTGCGTGTGTGAGTGGCCAGGGCTGAGCCTGTCACTGCCCGCCTGCAGGCCTGCGGCTGCCCGCTCTACTGGAAGGGGCCGCTCTTCTACGGCGCCGGGGGAGAGCGCACGGGCTCCGTCTCCGTGCACAAGTTCATCGCCATGTGGAGAAAGTGAGTCCCCGCCGGGCCGCGGGCACGGGGCACAGGTGGGTGGGCAGCTCCTCCCTCCCCACCTGCAGGACGGAAGTGGGGGCAGCCTCAGGGGTGGCCCCCACCCAGGACGCTGTGTACCCTCAGGCCCTGTGACGTCCACCGCTCAGTGCCCGGACTGACGACATGGCTTGCAGTGTGTGTGTGTGTCTGGGTGTGTGTGCGCGCGCAAGTTTATGGGGCCAAGGGACCCTGTCCTGTCAGGACCCTGACTGGCACGCACACAGCTGGAGTGTGTGTCTGTGTGTGTGTGTGTGTGTGTGTGTGTACACACATGGTGCTGTGGGACCCTCTTCTGTCAGGACCCTGAATGGCAGGCACAAAACTGGGGTGTGTATATGTGTGTGTGCGCAAGTGTATGGGGCCATGTGACCCTGTCCTGTCAGGACCCTGACTGGCAGGCACACAGCTGGTGTGTGTGTGTATGTGTGTGTGTGTGTGCGTGCACACTGGGCCATGGGACCCTGTCCTATCAGGACCTGGACTGGTGTCTGTGTGTGTGTGTGTGTGTGTGTGTGTGTGTGTGCGTGCAAGTGGATGGGGCCATGTGACCCTGTCCTGTCAGGACCCTGAGTGGCAGGCACACAGCTGCTGTGTGTGTGTGTGTGTGTGTGTGTGTGTGTGTGTGTGCGTGTGTACACACACTGGGCCATGGGACCCCGTCCTGTCAGGACCCTGCCCGGCAGGCGCCCAGCCGGTCACGTCTCTCCGTGCCCCTGAGGACGGCCCCCGTCTCTCCGCGCAGGGTCCTGCTGAGCTGCCACGACGATGCCGCCAAGTTCGTGCACCTGCTCATGAACCCCGGCTGCAACTACCTGGTCCAGGAGGATTTCGTCCCCTTCCTTCAGGTACGGCGCGCGGGTCCCCGTGCCCCCGGCACGGCCGGGGACGGCAGCCCCCTCCTCAGGGATGCGCAGGCACCCCGGGCTGCAGGGCCTGTGTCCCCGGGCGCGCGGCGCACACGGCCTGCGTGCCCCTCCTGCAGGGCCGGGAGTCCACATTGCACGTGACACAGAGCCGGCCCCTGGCCCACGTGCACGCTGCCCCCCCCCCCACCCCCCCAGAGCCTGTTGTCTGCACCGCATGCGGGACTGTAGGTGCTTGTGGCTCTGCACCGCACACCCCACCTCCTTCCTCCCGTGTACGCTGTCTGCGCCACACGTGCCTTGCGCCCGGCCTGTGTGTCTGTGTGCTGCCGTGCCGATGGCTGTGTCCATCTCTCCTGCACTCACTGGTGCACACACACGTCACACTCGGGCCACTTTTGCACACTGCGTCAGCACCGTGCTGTGGGAGGGTCTCATCCGCAGTGCAGTCTGTGTGTGAGTGTGAGCGTGTGTGTCTAGTCTGCACCGCACATGCTCACTCCTTCTCTGGGGGTGTCCTCAAGTCTCTCCCACCGTGTGCGTCCTCCCTTTTTCACGTAAGAAAGATGCTCCGTGTAATCAGAACCGTGACATGCGAGGCCCTCGATCGAGTCGCAGGCCTCTAAAGTCTCCCCCCCACCATCCCCACCACAGCGTCCCCTCCCCGTGCAGTGTCCCTCTGCGCCCGCCCCTCCCCGCCCCCCCTCGGCAGGCACTCCCAACGCCGGGCAGCGGCCGCCTGGACCTCCTGCTGCCCGTGCGGGGTCTGTGCTTTGGGCCCGTGGCGCTGCCGCTCTCCCAGTCCACGGGGCCTGCTCCCTCGTGGGGCACCGTGCTCTTCTGCCTGCTGCCCTTCCTCCTCCCCCTTCTCCCCAGGCCCTACCCACGGTTCTTCCGTCTGTCCTGTGAGCATGGCTTGTGCGTCTGTCTGGACGCCCTCACCACTTCTTGCTGACACACTTTGGCGTGTCCACACAGCTCTGCTCACCCTTGTGACGGGTTTGTTCTCACACGCTCTTCCAGTGGGGAGGTGCTTGTCAACGCCGCTTGCTCTGGCTCTGAGAATGGGCAAGTCTGGTCCACGCACAGGAGATTTTTTCTGCCTGCACCTGACGTAGGCTCGAGTTCGGTGGGCACCCCAGGGGCTGTGTCCTTCACAGAGCTGATCGCTGACCAGTTGGAGCTGGTGGCAGACAATTATCCTCAAGAGAGGTGGTCACAGGAAACGGGTTGCTGGGATGGGACCATGGCTGTTGGCTGGGAAGTAGAGTCGGGGAGGCCCCAGGAGACGTCCAGAGCCCTCCAGCAGGCAGGCACACGCCTCCAAAAGACACCTTCAGAGCCCTCACGAGACACCCCAGAGCCCTCACACGGACACCCGGAGCCCTCACACGCAGACCCAGAATCCTCACACACATGCCCAGAGCCCCACACGCACACTCTAGAGCCCTCATTACATGCGTCAGAGCCTTCAAGCAGACATCCAGAGAACTCATGCAGACACACAGAACCCTCACAGACAATCGCACTCATGCAGACTGTGCTGAGTGTGTGTTTGTCTGTATGTGCGTGTGTGTGTGTGTGTGTGTGTGTGTCCACCATCCTGCTGATGGAGAGCTGCCCTGACGGCTGCTCCGTGAGACGCGCCTTCTGGTGTGTGAGCGTGTGACTCAGTGGCCCTCGTGTGGTCCTGTGTGCAGTAGGGTCTGGACCGCGTGTGAGTGAGTGCTCCCTGCGCAACCCACGGGAGCAGTGTCGTGGCCGGGGCCCGCTCCCTCCCCCACGGTCACCCGGCTCGGACGTCATCGTCACGTTGTCTCTGTGCAGGACGTGGTGAACTCCCATCCCGGCTTGTCCTTCCTGAAGGAGGCATCCGAGTTCCACTCGCGCTACATCACCACCGTGAGTACCCAGCGTCGGCCCCGATGAGTCCCGCAGGCCTGGACCAGGTAGGACACCCGGGCAGCGCCAGGCCAGGCCTGCGCCCGTGTGATGCCGTGCCAAGTCCTTGTATGCACTCTAGGGGGTGAGGAGGGCCCCCGAGGGACGAGGCCCCGTGCTGTGCCCCGTGTCCACCGTCAGCATGCGCATGGGGGCAGGAGCTGTGTGCCTGTGGCGCGTGGCCCTGCCTGACCCTCCCCCCACCCCCTTTCCTGCTGGGCGTTGCCCAGCCGGGACTGACTGAGGGCAAGTCCCGGCTGCCAGGACTCAGCTCCGGGATGTCCCCACCGCTGCCCGCTGGGGAGATGCCACACATGTCGCCGGGCAGCCAGCTGGCGCACGCAGACTGGGTGCCCCTGTCCAGCCTCGGGGCAGAGCACCACACACTCACACACACACAGACACACATGCACAGACGGAGACAGACACACAGATGCATAGACATATAGGACACGCACAGACACACAGGCTGGGTGCCACTGCCTTAGCCTCAATGCATAACACCACACACACACACACACACAGACACAGATGGAGATAGACACATAGTGACACATAGACACACAGGACACACACACACAGGAGACACACACACATAGACACACAGGACACATGCACACACAGAGAGACACGTAGATGCAGACATGTACACACAGTCATGAAACGTACACAGATACACAGGACACACATGCACATCCTCGTACAGACACAGAGATGTGTAGATACAGACACAAACACAGAAACACACAGGACACACACAAAGAAACAGAGACAGATACAGACACTCACACAGACACACACACACACACACACACACACACACACGTGCGCGCTGCTGCCCATCCTTCCCCGAGCCCCATGCCACAGGCGCCCTCTGCTGGCCACACAGGCCCTTGCACCTCGGGCCCTGTTCCCGCTGACCCTGGGAGGGTATCGGTCGGTCGTGAGAAGGCCCCGTGGGCCCTGCCCTGCGGGCTCAGTCGGCCTCCTCGCCCCGCAGGTGATCCAGAGGATCTTCTACACCGTGAACAGGTCCTGGACGGGCAGGATCACCTGCGCAGAGCTGCGCAGGAGCACCTTCCTGCAGGTGAGGCCGCGGGGGGCGGGGTGGGGCACGCGCACACACACACACACACACACACATACACACACACACCCACATGGGGCTCGGGGCACCTTCCTGCAGGTGAGGCCGCGGGGGTCAGGGTGGGACACGCACACACACACACACACACATGCATGCATGCATCCCCGTGCCCCCTCCCCCCAAACACACATATGCACACCCACTCACATTCCCGTGCCCACCCCGGCCCTCACGCATCCCCGCGGCCTCTGCCCTGCGCACACGTGTCCGTCCCGTGTGTTCAGAACGTGGCGCTGCTGGAGGAGGAGCCGGACATCAACCAGCTGACGGAGTTCTTCTCCTACGAGCACTTCTACGTCATCTACTGCAAGTTCTGGGAGCTGGACACGGACCACGACCTGCTCATCGACGCCGACGACCTGGCCCGGCACAACGACCACGGTACGCCTGGACCAGGCTGCCGGGGGAAGGGCCTGGGGGGACGTCGCTGCGTGTCCATGGCTCAGTCTGGGGGAGGCTGTGGGTGTCCGTGGGTCAGTGTGGGAGAGGGTGCGAGTGTGTGTCCGTGGGTCACTCTGGAGAGGGTGCGAGTGTGTGTCCTTGGGTCAGTGTGGGAGAGGGTGTGAGTGTGTGCCCGTGGATCAGTCTGGGAGAGGGTTGGAGTGTGTGCCCGTCGGTCCTGTGCTGGCCGTGGTGTGACCTGGCCGCCTGCCGTGCACTCTTGCCGTCACTGCCCCACCCCAGACTTTCCACCCCGTCTCCCGGGAGACCTCTGGCTGTGGGGCGCACGGAGACCAGGAGGCACGTGCCGCTCTCGGGACACACAGTCCTCCAGGAGGCACAGTGCGCGCGTGGGCCCGTACGCGTGGCGCATGGGGCGGTGGCCGACTGTGCATGTCTGTGCACGCAGGTTCCCAGGCAGAGGCCATGCTCCCGGTCGGCTCCCATCCCCCTTCCCCGCTGTGCGCCCCTCGGGTGCTGCTGTTGGCAGCTGTGGTCGGGCTCACGGCTCCCGCCACGGTGGGCGGTCGCCCCAGTGGGGTTGCCGTGTCTTCCTCCGTGCTCTCGAGCGACCAGTGCTGGCCTGTCCTGAGTGTCCTGAGGGAACTCGTCGGACCCCCGCCAGGCTTCTCTCTCGTGACCGAGCCACGGCCCCCCAGTCTGTCCCCAGGGAGCCCTGGCGCGGCCCTCACTGGGGCTCCCGGGACTCTCTCCCCGCAGCCATCTCCACCAGGATGATCGAGAGGATCTTCTCGGGGGCCGTGACGCGGTACGTCTCCCCGCGTGCGTTCCCGTGTGCGCAGGGCCCGTCTCCCCGAAACGGCCCCGGCGGGTCGCGCTGGGGCCCCGCGGCCCGTGCCCCACAGGTCCTGGTGAGGGGACAGGCTGGCTCGTGGCATCCCTGCCTGTGGGCCTCTGTCAGGCCGGAGCGCCTGCGTCTCACAGGCCGTGGCCCTGCCTGTGCCCGGGGCCCCCCATGCCACGGCAGCACGGGGCCTGGACCCTGATGCCCCCCACAGGCCGTCCCAGACCCCCTGCGGACACAGGGCCCTGCGGGGGCCGGGCTTCTCGGGGCAGCCTCCTTCCTGGCCGGTGGGCAGGACCAGCCCCCCAGTGGTGGTGCCTGACCTGGTCCCCGTGTCCTTCCGCCGGACGCCAGGGGCAAGAAGGTGCAGAAGGAAGGGAAGATCAGCTATGCCGACTTTGTGTGGTTCCTGATCTCCGAGGAGGACAAGAAGACCCCCACCAGGTAGGTGTGGGCGCGGCGGTGCTCCAGCCGGCCCTGCCCACAGCTCAGCCTCGAGCTGGCCCCGGACCCAGCCCGCCCTGGCCAGCTCCTTCCAGCCGGGCTCCGCCCTGCCAGCGTCTGGCCGGCCGGCCCCCTCCCCGCCGGGTGCAGAACGAATGTGCCCGGGTCTGTCCCTGGAGTGCTGTGTCCTGGGGGAGGGTGGGGGGTGTCCAGGGGTGGTCTTCCCAGGAGGGCCCGTCTGCGGGAGTCTGTCCGTGGCGGGCCCGTCCCAAGGAGGTCGGTCTGTGGAGGGCCCGTCCGGGGGGCGCTGTCCACGGAGGGTGGGGGCGCGTGTGCAGGCTCCCACCGAGCCGCTGTGACGCAGCATCGAGTACTGGTTCCGCTGCATGGACCTGGACGGGGACGGCGCCCTGTCCATGTTCGAGCTGGAGCACTTCTACGAGGAGCAGTGCCGCCGGCTGGACAGCATGGCCATCGAGGCCCTGCCCTTCGAGGACTGCCTCTGCCAGATGCTGGACCTGGTGAAGCCGCAGACCGAAGGTAGCCCCGCCGCCCCCTGGCGCACAGCCGGGCTTGGGGGGGGGCGGGGTCCCGTGGGCCTCGCTCTGAGCTGCTGGCCCAGACCCCCGGGGGTGGGGGCGGGGTCCCGTGGGCCGCGCGAGCCCCAGGGCTGGCTCCTCGGACCTCTCGGTGCAGCTGGCTTCAGGCTGCCCCTCCCCGCGGGTGGGCGCCTGCCTGGACCCCAGAGCCCTCGGTGCCCGCCCGGCAGCCGTGCCCGGCGGTGGTTGTCTGCGCCCACCTCGGGAGCTGATGGCGAGGGCCCCGCCCACAGGGAGGATCACCCTGCGCGACCTGAAGAGGTGCAAGCTCGCCGGCGTCTTCTTCGACACCTTCTTCAACATCGAGAAGTACCTGGACCACGAGCAGAAAGACCAGATCTCGCTGCTCCGGGTGTGTGTCTGTGTGAGTGTGTGTGTGCGTGTGCGTGTGTGTGTGTGTTTGAGGGGGGAGGACGAGCTCAGGGTGTGTGTGTGTGTGTGTGTGTGTGCGAGGGGGCCATGGTGGAGCTCGGGCTGTGTGGGGAGAGTTGCGTGTGGCTGCGGAGACCGCGTGTGGGGTGGCTCCGTGTGCCCGCGGTGGCTGTCCTGTGTGGCTTGTGTCGTAGCCGTGTGTGTCTCGGTGTGTCACGGTGCAGCCCAGTGCATGTGGGGCCGTGTGTGTGCGTGAGGGCCCTGCCGTGTGTGCACACAGGCACGTGTGTGCTGGCGTGTGCCCGTGTGCCTCGGCGCTGGTGGGCCTGCGTCGGGGGACGGGACCGCCTGACCCGGTGGCCGCGTGGTCTCGTGCAGGACAGCGACAGCGAAGGGCCCGAGCTCTCGGACTGGGAGAAGTACGCTGCCGAGGAGTATGACATCCTGGTGGCCGAGGAGGCTGCAGGGGAGGCCTGGGATGACGGGTGAGCGGGCGGGCGGGGGGCGGGCGGGGGGTGGGCACAGCCTTCCCTGCCTCCTCAGCGTGCCCAGAGGACCCCGCTCACCCTCAGTGCATTTGGGGGGCAGGCATGGCCGGGCGGAGGGGAGCAGCTCAGGGCCACAGCAGGGTGGGCTGGGACTCCCCCCGGCGCAGCTCCCAGACTGCACGGGACCCCCCCAGGGTGCAGAGCCAGGCAGGCTTGGTCTCCGCCATCGGTCTATGCCTCCACCCCACCCCACTGCACCGGGCACCGCCCCGCACGTCCACTGTCCACGGCAGATGCACGGCCGCCCCTGCAGCCAAGGCCCCGTGTCCGCAGGCCCCGTCTCCCTCGAGCCTGTATCCCTAGGTCCAATATCTCTCAGTCTGGGTCCCTAGATCCCGTGTCCACAGGGCCTGTATCTGCAGACCGCGTCTCTGTAGATCCCGTGTTCATAGATCCCGTGTCTGTAGACCCCCTGTCCACAGGCCCCGTCCGTATCCGTAGTTCCCGTGTTTGTAGATTCCGTGTCTGTAGATCCCGTGTCCACAGGCTCTGTCTAGGCCGCAGTGTCCGTGGTTCTGTGCGGTTCCCCTGCACGGGACCCACGCCTGCCCCGTCGCGAGCCCCTGAGCCCGCGTGCGTGGACCCTGCCCACGCCCGTCCCCATGCACCCCCAGGTACGAGGCGGAGCTGAGCCCCGTGGAGCAGAAGCTGAGCTCGCTGCGTCCAGCCCTGGCCCAGAGGCCCTTCTTCGAGTCCCCGAGCCCGCTGGGGGACGTCGAGCTGTACGAGTACGAGAGCGAGGAGGAGGAGGAGGAAGAGGAGGAGGACCTGCAGCCGTCCTGAGCTCCGGCCGGCGTCTCCTCCGCGCGCACTGCGACGCAGGGCGGCTGGCGTGGGGCTGCTTGTCTGCGACGGGGGAGGTTCGCCCAGCGTGAAACTGCGCAGGGCGGCTTGGCCGTGGGCGTGTCCCACCCATCCCGGGGGCCCGACGACCCCAGGCCGGGCCTGGCAGGAGAGACAGTGGCCTCTGGGCACCCCAAGGTGGGGCCAGCCGCCGTGGGCCCTCCCTCCATGCTGCGCCCGGCACTCCCAGGTCCGGACAGGGAGCGGCGGAGGCCTCACGGGTTCCCGGGGGCGCCCACGGCCGCCGGCACCCAGCAGTGCAGCTGTGGGCCCCCGGTCGGCTGCCACCAGCACCCTGGCCCTGTCCAAGGGATTGTACAGAATTTGTAAAGCTCCTTTTTCTCTTGCCGTGCAGAGCTGTTGAAAGATGTTTTATGAAATCGTTTGTACTTTGCAATAAAGAATGGTTTTCAGTACGGGCCCTTCCTGTCCCCTGGCATCCCCCGCCCCCACGCAGCAGCTGGCCTGGACACCGGGTCGGGTGCTGGGCGGGAGGACGTGGGGGAGGGGTGGGCGCTGGAAGCGGTGCGGCCCTCGGCAGGGCCTTCTGTGGCCCCCAGCTGTGTCCCCTGGTCTGCCCTGTGCTGACCTGACGTGTGCTGTGTCCTCGGATCTGACCTGTGCTGTGACCTCCGCCCGCCCTGGCTCAGCTGTGGGTGCTGGCCGCGGGGCTGAGGCAGGCGTGTCCTCCTGGGCCAGTTCTGCCGGCTGCAGCTCCTCGGGTGGCCAGTCCTGCCCCCACAGACTCAGCGGGGAGAGCAGCAGCGTCCACAGCCCGGCCACACACAGGTCATCGTCCTTGCGTGTCTGCAGGACCCGGGCTGTGGCAGCACCACCAGGCCCCTGGGCGGGAGGCGAGGGCAGCCCCAGGGGGAGGAGCTTAGGGATAGGGTCCGGGTTCTGTGTGGGTCGTGGTCGGGCTTCAGGTTAGGGGGTTAGGGGTTGGGGTAGCATTAGGGTTAGGGGTTGGGGGCAGAGGCAGGGCTAGGGTTGGGGTTAGGGGTGCTAGGAGCACGAGTTAGGGCTAGGGTCAGAGGGAGGGGTAGCCGTAGGGGCTAGGGGAGGGTCGGGGTAGGGGTAGGGGTAGGTGGTCACATCATTAGGGTGCAATGGTCACGGTGGATTCTGCATCCTTGGTCAGATTTATTTGGAGTCCAAGGTTGATCGGTGACCCAGAAGTAAGGGGATGTGCCCCTTTTTAAAACGGGGAAGTAATAAGTGCCAGTAAGAATATTTCAGGGAGAAGTTCATCTCCAAGGAAATCCGGGGACGGTCATGGCGACTGCTGACGCTCTTCAGCTGCCGGGACCCGGATGCAGCCAGCCAGAGGGATGGGAGGGGCAGCACGGTCCAAACGCACAAGGGCATCTCCGTTACTTTCAGAATCTGTGTCTCCGGATTTTGCTCCTGGAGACAGGAGTGATGATGCCATTTCCTTTTGTTCATTAAGTGGAACCCCTTCCGCAAGCAGCCTGTGCTATGGTGCTGTGGAAAACCATCCCATTTTGGACACCAGGCCCTTCATCTCTTTCTCCGGATCGTTCCGTTTGAGCAGACTGTCTTGGACCAGGAGAAGGGGGAATACCGAGAATTTTGTAGGTGCCTACCCACAATGGATGATGTCACAGGGGAGGGGACCCCGTGGTGGACCTCAAGGGAGGGGACTCTTTGCTCAGGAGTGTTGGTGTGATCCCCCCATTCGGGTCACACCTTGAAGGACCAGGAGATGTCTGAGACGGACATCTCCATGAGGCTGAAATGGTCATCCACGGAGCCGCCTGTTAGAGCCCACCAGATCCTGTAGTGGGTGCCCTGGGACCGAGTCAAACACCCACCCAGACGTTCACGACACAGACCAGAGGAGTCTAGAAGACATTCCCAATGCCCGAGCCAACTCTCAAAACCCAGAAAACCAGGAGTGCAGAAAAAGTGGCGCGCAAACCCCAGAAAATAGTGCTGCCTCTGGATCAGCACCAGAGGCCTCAGTGGCACCTACATCCCTGGATCTCCTGGAGAGGCCCAGTGCCACCGCTGGAACTCCGTCAGAGGCTTCGGATGCAGATCCTCGAGCAGGGAGATCGGTCCTGGGCCACTGTACTCAGCCTTCAAGGCACACCCAGCAGCGCCCGGGGTTGCTCCTGGCTCTCCACTCGGGAATCACTCCCGGCAGTATGGGGAACCCCGGGTCTGCACCCCCATAAATGACGTCACCAGGGAGGAGACCCCTTGGCCCTCCGTGGGGTGTGAGAGATAGAGCCTGGCTCGGCCACGTGCCAGGCAACCCCCTCCCCATTGTACTGTCTCTTGGCGGTGTGGCCGGGTTGGAGCACCGCCTGGGGGAGCAGCGCCTGCAGTCCAGCTGGCTTTTGGAGGGTTCCCGCGGGCTGCCCCAGCAAGTCCGTTGCTAGGAGCGTTGCCAAGGCCGGGGCGGGGGCAGTGAGAGCTCCCTAATGTGGGCCAGGTGTGTCCAGGTGTGTCCATGGAAACCTCGCCCGGGGAACACGTGGCCAATCAGAGTGGGACTGGGAGGGCTGTGGGGGCGGGCAGCCGGAGCGGAAAAAAGACAGCCCCCAGGCCCACTTCTTTTTTCCTCCCGGCTCTCGGACTTCCTCGCTCTCTCGAACTTTCCAGCGCCAGGTAGGGCTCCGCGTCCCCAGGGCCTGGCACGGGCAGGCGGCTCGGGGCCAGCTCGGGGCCAGCTCGGGGCCAGCTCGGCCGGCGGAGGTTCGGGTCAGGCCGGAGTCCGGCGCCGGGCAGCGGTAGGGAGGGGGGCGCAGGGGGGCTCGGAGACTCTCGGCGCAGTGGGGGGGGTCCCAGAGACAGGCCCTGAGCACGGGGGTCTCGCCACGCGGCCGGACACCGGGGAAGGGCCGGGGGACGGAGGGCGAGGCGGGGCGTGACCTGGTCCTGCCACGGGCAGAGAGACCCGGGGTCCGGGAGCCCCCCTGCCCACCCCCTTTATTCTGTTGGCAACCTGAGGGGTCGGCCCGCTCCCGCTCCGAATGCCCCTCCCCCTCGGCGGTGCCTGGGGTCCGAGGGGGCGTCCGGCACCCCAACGGGGTCGCCCACGGGCCAGGCTCAGCCCCGCCCACGCCCCCTCCCCGCTGCTGTTCCATTTCCAAGGAGCAACGGGTCTTTCGCAACTGGGGGTGGGGTCCACCGGGCATGGGGGTCTCGCTTGCAAGGGCCTGGGGCCGTAGAGACCAGGGTGCCTCCAGCGGGTGGGCCCTGTTCCCCCCTCCCCACGCCTGGGGGCTTTGGGGCGTGGCCGAATCTTTGAGCCGCCAGTGGGCGTGGCCTCGCCTGGGCGCCTCGTGGGGGCGTGGCCCCGTGAGCCTCGTGCGGGTGTGACCCCGGCAGCCTGGGGACAGGGCCGGCCTCACCTCTGAAGTGCTGGGGCCGTGGCCTCACCCGTGCTGCTCCTGGGGGCGTGGCCTCCCCGTGAGCTGCCTCGGGGCGTGGTCCCCCATGAGCCTCCTCGTGGGGGCGTGGCCACCGTAAGCCTCGTGTGGGTGTGGCCTCACCCTTGAGCTGCTTGGGGGCATGGCCTCGCCCTGGAGCCGCCTGGGGGCGTGGCCTCACCCTGCTCCTCCTGGGGGCGTGGCCTCCCCGTGAGCTGCCTCGGGGCGTGGTCCCCCATGAGCCTCCTCGTGGGGGCGTGGCCCTGTGAGCCTCGTGTGGGTGTGGCCTCACCCTTGAGCTGCTTGAGAGCATGGCCTCGCCCTTGAGCTGCCTGGAGGCGTGGCCTCACCCGTGCTCCTCCTGGGGGCGTGGCCTCACCTCTGAGCTGCGGGTGGGCGTGGCCTCCCAGGGAGCTGCCTCGGGGCGTGGTCCCCCATGAGCCTCCTCGTGGGGGCGTGGCCCCGTAAGCCTCATGTGGGTGTGGCCTCACCCTTGAGCTGCTTGGGGGCATGGCCTCGCCCTTGAGCCGCCTGGGGGCATGGCCTCACCCGTGCTCCTCCTGGGGGCGTGGCCCCCGTGAGCCTCCTGTGGGTGTGGCCTCGCTCTTGAGCGGCTTGGGGGCGTGGCCTCACCCGTGCTGCTCCTGGGGCCGTGGCCTCCCCGTGAGCTGCCTAGGGGCGTGGTCCCCCATGAGCCTCCTCGTGGGGGCGTGGCCCCCGTAAGCCTCGTGTGGGTGTGGCCTCACCCTTGAACTGCTTGGGGGCATGGCCTCGCCCTTGAGCCGCCTGGGGGCGTGGCCTCACCCTGCTCCTCCTGGGGGCGTGGCCTCCCCGTGAGCTGCCTCGGGGCGTGGTCCCCCATGAGCCTCCTCGTGGGGGCGTGGCCCCGTAAGCCGCGTGTGGGTGTCGCCTCACCCTTGAGCTGCTTGGGGGCATGGCCTCGCCCTTGAGCCGCCTGGGGGCGTGGCCTCACCCGTGCTCCTCCTGGGGGCGTGGCCTCACCTCTGAGCTGCCTCGGGGCGTGGTCCCCCATGAGCCTCCTCGTGGGGGCGTGGCCCCGTAAGCCTCTTGTGGGTGTGGCCTCGCCCTTGAGCCGCCTGGGGGCGTGGCCTCACCCGTGCTCCTCCTGGGGGCGTGGCCTCACCTCTGAGCTGCCTCGGGGCGTGGTCCCCCATGAGCCTCCTCGTGGGGGCGTGGCCCCGTAAGCCTCGTGCGGGTGTGGCCTCACCCTTGAGCTGCTTGGGAGCATGGCCTCGCCCTTGAGCCGCCTGGGGGCGTGGCCTCACCCTGCTCCTCCTGGGGGCGTGGCCTCACCCTGCTCCTCCTGGGGGCGTGGCCTCACCTCTGAGCTGCGGGTGGGCGTGGCCTCCCCGGGAGCTGCCTGGGGCGCTCAGGGTGGAGTCTCTGCGCAAAGAGCAAATGGAGCAAAGAGCCGCACACGTGCGGGTTGCCCGAGGCTGCCCCGGGAGGCCCCGCCCCGTGGGTCTGTCCAGCGCCCCTCGGGTCAGTGTGTGTGGAGGGTGCCTGATCCTCGGGGGCGGGCAGGTCGTGGCTGGGCCTGGCCCTCGGGGAACGACGGGTCGTGGCTAGGCCAGGCGGGCGCCAGGCTCAGGGCTGGGGCAGGGTCCCGGCACACCCGCCCCCACCCGGTTCAGCGCCCAGGGAGGCCCGGTCCACCTTGCCACTGCCCGGAACTGCCCCTGCCTTTCATCGTTTTAAATCGAGCTCTTTTTTTGCTTTTCATTTTTACCTTTTGCATTGGATCACAGTGAGTTGCTGTTGTTGATGGTTGGATGCCAGCCCCGAGATCCGAGCATCCCCCCCCACCCCGGTCCCCTCTGCAGCTCACACTTCTCGCCTCCGGAGCCCCCAGCTTCCCTTCCGGGGCCGGGGGTGTCCTTGTGTGCCCCAGACACAGGCCTCACCTGACTCGGTGCGTGCTTCTTCACTAGGGTCCACTGGGAGCTGTGGACGGGCTCCAGAGGATGAGGCCAGAGCGCCTGGGCT